ATTTTTTATGGCATATTCTACGTCGAAAAGAAGCCCTAGTTTCCTCTATAAACATTATGTCCAGAAACATTTCATTTCCGAGATACAGGGTGTTGAAATTCTAAGAAAAAAACTATTTTTTCATCATTATGTTCAAACCACTCAAGATATTTCATTGAATTTTTTTACACTGCTTTCAAGCAGCAGAAGACATTTTTTGATGTGAAATATTTTTTTTTAAAAATTTCCAGTGGCGTCCGTACCAGATTTGTATGGATTATTTTTGAAGAAAAAAATGGTGCGCCACTGTTTTTTCCGAAAATTAAAATTATTTTTGGAATCCTCATTCAATTTGGAACAACTTTGATCCCTTCACTTTTTTCCGTATGATGCACCGTTTTCAAATAAAAAATAAAAAAACATTTTGATGCATGGCTAAATCGTCAAAATTATGAATAAAAACTTCACAAAAGTAATTTGAAACCTAAGGTGTTTAATGTTTAATATTTTTAACATAATTTTGGCGATTTCGCCATGCATCAAAATGATTTATTTTATTTTTTTACTGGTTAACGGTGCATTATACGGAAAAAAGTGAAGCGGTCAAATTTGTTCCAAATTGAATGAGGATTTCAAAAAAAAATTTTTTTTCTGTGACGGGAAAAAAGTTGACTTTTTGTACCTGTTGACAGGGGCAAAAATGTCACTTTTTTTCTCATGGGAAAAAAGTGAATTTTTTTTCCCGAGGGAAAAAAGTAACATGTACCAGTCAAATTTTTTTATCAATGGGAAAAAACTAACAGGTAAAGACATAGAAAAAAATAGTGAATAGATGGGAAATAAGTGAGATTTACAGTCACAGAAAAAAATAGTGTATTGGAAAAAAGTAAGATTTTAGCGCTCGCTGTGTTGTATCCCTCCGCTTCGCGTCGGGAGACAAACCACACCTCGCGCTAAAATCTAGTACTTTTTTCCCTTGTATAATAAATAACTTTTATATTCAAAAAAAGCAGTGCCGCACCATTTTTTTCTTGAAAAATATTCCATACAAATCTGGTACAGACGCCACTGGTAATAAAAAATATATATATTTCACATCAAAAAAAGTCTTTTGCTGCTTGAAAGCAGTGTACAAAATTTCAAAATATCTTGAGTGGTTTGAACATTATGACGAAAAAATAGTTTTGTTCTTAGAATTTCAACACCCTGTATCTCGGAAAGGAAGCGTTTCCGGCCAAAGTTTTATGTAGGAAACTAGGTTTTATTTTTAACGTAGAATATGCCATAAACATTTGTTACATGAATTTTGGAACACCCTGTATAAAATAATATAAAAATTACTTTTTATTGTACGCCCATTGTTTTGCAGGTACTTATTTTTTGCAAATTTGAAATGCCCAAAACGAAAGTAACTTCAAGGCACTTTAGACGTAAACAAAGAAACCGAGGCGTTTTTCAAAAATGTGCATCCTGACAATAAAAACGATTCAAATATAGCCAGGCGGGGCAGTCGTTCTAATTTATATCCTAAAACCAGTGACCAAAACAATACATTGTCATGTAGTTCGTCATCAAAATGTTCTTTTAATGAAAACCATTTCGCAAATACTGAAAATTTGATAAACGACAGTCTCGAAAATAATTGTTTCTTAGACAATGGTTTTAATAGTAGTCATTCTAGTTTTGATTCAACACATTCCGGTTTAAGTTCTTCTGATAACGACATTCCAAATATAGAAAATATTGCGCCTTCCCATAATAACCAACTGTCTTTACATGAGGAAATGCAAAACTGGGCTGTAAAATTTCAAATAAGTCACGCGGCACTAAAACATGTTTTACCAGTAATTGCTCTACGTATTCCGGGTTGTGAAAAATTTCCTAAGGATCCCAGGTCATTTTTGTGTACTCCTAGAACTGTCGAAAAACGAGTTGTAGAACCAGGTGTTTATTGCCATATTGGCATAAATCATTGTATTGAACAAATGTATACAAATCTTATTAAACCTAATGGAAATTGTATAAATATTGCTGTGAATATTGACGGATTACCGCTAGCTCATAGTTCAAGTAGTCAAGTCTACCCAATTCTGTGCATTAACAAATCAATTGAAAATAATAATAATGTTTCGATTATAGGTATATATCACGGCAATCAAAAACCATTTAGATTTAATGAATTTTTAAAAGATTTTGTTACTGAAGCTAAAGAACTTACAAATAATGGCATTACAATTTTTGGAAAAAACCTTCAATTTAAAATAACAAAATAATGTTTCTTTTTGATGCTGTAGCAAAATCGAGTGTTCTTTACTGTAAGGGATGTACTGGTTACTACTCCTGCACAAAATGCAAACAGAAAGGTGTATACATTAAAGATAGAGTTTGCTTTCCAGATCTTGAATGTGTACCTCGTACAAATGAATGTTTTTTGACGTTAAGTGAGAATAATAAGTTCGTGACTGAAGAAATAAGTATTCTGGGTGAAATTCCCCATATTAATTTTATTGCAGACATACCAATCGACTACATGCATTTGATATGTTTAGGTGTGGTAAAACGGTTGGTAGTCCAAACTTGGGCTTTTGGCTCTATTCCTCATAAGTTATGTGCCCGAGATTTTAATCAGATTTCCCAGAATTTAACCAATTTAAAGCAGTATATCCCTTCAAATTTTGCTAGAGTCCCAAGAGCATTGTCTGAGAGCAAGAAGTGGAAAGCCACTGAGTTCCGACAATTTCTTCTCTACTCTGGACCTGTCGTGCTCAAAAATGTTCTGTCTCCTACAAAATATTACCATTTCCTAACTTTACATGTGGCAACTGTAATATTGATAAGTAAAAAACATTGTAGAACTTATTTAGACTATGTTGAGCAGCTATTAGAACACTTCGTTAAATCAACAAAAATCATCTATGGGACTCATTATCTTCGCCATAATTTTCACAATCTTTTACACATCGTTGACGATGTTCGTAATCACGGGTGCCTTGATAACTTTAGCAACTTTTCTTCCGAAAACTATTTGCAATATATAAAGAAACTACTTCGTAAACCTTCAGACGTACTAAGCCAAATTGTTAAACGAATTAATGAAATCGAAAAACATTTATCGTTAAAAAACTGCAATTTATTAGGTGCACAAAATTTTGAAATGGAAAATCCCCACAATGACGGAGTGCTGGTTAATGATTGTGGAAGCCCTCAGTTTAAAAGAGTAAAATTTAAAGATTTCTTTATTCCATTTAATAAAAAAGATTGTTGCTGTGTATTGGAGAATGATATAATTATTACAGCAGAAAATTTTGCATTTTCCTCCATAATTAATGAGTTTGTAGTTGTGGGAAGAAGTTTTAATACAGTACAGGATTTTTATAATAGACCATATAATTCTAGTAATTTTGGATTTTTTTTTGTAAAGGATTCAGGCGTTTTAAACTACTGGCCAATTAAATATATAAAAAATAAACTAGTTCAGCTACCTTACGCAGATGGCTTTGTAGTTTTACCTTTGCTGCATCATGAAGAATACACCAATTTGAATTAGGGACCATTAAATTTGAAATAATTATTATACTTTTGCTGTTGTTAAAAGATAGAGTTTGCTTTCCAGATCTTGAATGTGTACCTCGTACAAATGAATGTTTTTTGACGTTAAGTGAGAATAATAAGTTCGTGACTGAAGAAATAAGTATTCTGGGTGAAATTCCCCATATTAATTTTATTGCAGACATACCAATCGACTACATGCATTTGATATGTTTAGGTTTGGTAAAACGGTTGGTAGTCCAAACTTGGGCTTTTGGCTCTATTCCTCATAAGTTATGTGCCCGAGATTTTAATCAGATTTCCCAGAATTTAAACAATTTAAAGCAGTATATCCCTTCAAATTTTGCTAGAGTCCCAAGAGCATTGTCTGAGAGCAAGAAGTGGAAAGCCACTGAGTTCCGACAATTTCTTCTCTACTCTGGACCTGTCGTGCTCAAAAATGTTCTGTCTCCTACAAAATATTACCATTTCCTAACTTTACATGTGGCAACTGTAATATTGATAAGTAAAAAACATTGTAGAACTTATTTAGACTATGCTGATCAGCTATTAGAACACTTCGTTAAATCAACAAAAATCATCTATGGGACTCATTATCTTAGCCATAATTTTCACAATCTTTTACACATCGTTGACGATGTTCGTAATCACGGGTGCCTTGATAACTTTAACAACTTTTCTTCCGAAAACTATTTGCAATATATAAAGAAACTACTTCGTAAACCTTCAGACGTACTAAGCCAAATTGTTAAACGAATTAATGAAATCGAAAAACATTTATCGTTAAAAAACTGCAATTTATTAGGTGCACAAAATTTTGAAATGGAAAATCCCCACAATGACGGAGTGCTGGTTAATGATTGTGGAAGCCCTCAGTTTAAAAGAGTAAAATTTAAAGATTTCTTTATTCCATTTAATAAAAAAGATTGTTGCTGTGTATTGGAGAATGATATAATTATTACAGCAGAAAATTTTGCATTTTCCTCCATAATTAATGAGTTTTTAGTTGTGGGAAGAAGTTTTAATACAGTACAGGATTTTTATAATAGACCATGTAATTCTAGTAATTTTGGAATTTTTTTTGTAAAGGATTCAGGCGTTTTAAACTACTGGCCAATTAAATATATAAAAAATAAACTAGTTCAGCTACCTTACGCAGATGGCTTTGTAGTTTTACCTTTGCTGCATCATGAAGAATACACCAATTTGAATTAGGGACCATTAAATTTGAAATAATTATTATACTTTTGCTGTTGTTATTATTTTTTTGGTATGGCAACTTTGTTAGTTGCATCTGTAAAACAATTTTAAATTTATTTAGGTAATTTGGTCACTGGTTCATTTATTACCGCGGGTGCTCTACGAAAAAGAATACCGCGGGCGCTCTACGAAAAAGAATAGTGGACCCGTTCTGCGTTCAGGTAAATTGATTTTTTTTTCTTTTCTTCTTTTCATAATTACTCTATATAGATATGGAAAATAAACAATGGAATGTTGTCAAATTTAACAATGAAGACGAGGGCGATAGTGTTGAGGTTGTACCCTTGTCCTGGATTACTGGGACCGATTGTTTTTGGCCTCCATTTGATAACAGGAGGGACGTAGAAAGTGCGATGAAACATTGCTCATCACCGAAGGAAAACAGCTGGCGAAAGTATACAGGCGTTCAAAGTTCAAGCAGAACTTACGACAAATTCGCAACGGCATCTTCACGTGCTAACAAAGTTATTGCTAATTCTGAAATCGACAGCAGCGGATCTGAAAAATTGCCGAAAAAACGACTTGTTAAAATGAATCCTTTGTATGCAAAAAATTATTTTTTGAACAGCAATGAGACATCTGAAGATGAAGCCGAAATAAATGTTGAAATACCAAAATTTCCAACGTTGTCGACGAACACCAAATTAAATAAAGGCTTACCTTCTAAGAAGGCATCCAAAGGCCTTATAAAAACAAGTATGATTTTTACTTATTTTCGAAATACAGTATGTAATCAGAGCAACACGATCTCGAAAAACATTCTTTAAAGCAAGCGTGTGCGTTTTTTACTCAATAAAATAATTAATTGAATTTTTAAGTACTACTTCATGCAAAATATTTTTACAACTGAAAAAAATTTCCATAACTAATTTAATCCAATAAACTTAAAATCATTTCATTACATTTATACCTAAAAATACATTTCAAAAGCTCATTTTTAAAACTCAATGAATTAAAAAATATGTAAAATGGAATAAAACATCATAACAAATTGTTAAATATTTTGATGTATTTCTGATACCTAAAATTTATTTCTGATATCAGAAATTAATTTTGAGATATCGGAAATTAAATTTCTGTTGTCTGAAATTCACGATTAAAGAATATTTTCACGTTCCATATGTTTTAGATGGAGCGAACACATCTGGAGTCACCAAAAATACGAATGAGAAAAAACTCGATTATCGAAAATCTCATAGTCAGAAAGTCGGCTCAAATAGTAGTAATAATGAATTACCGTCTAATCGTAAGTCTTTAAAATGGTTGTCTTTTATAGCATTGTTGTATTTCTCATTTTAGTTGCCGGAAAAAACAATGCAGTTCAGGAAAAAATAGTTTTCGAAGAGGATTGTGAAGGTATATATAACATTTTAGGAACTGCAGTGAAGTGAAAGTTTTTTTTTTTTTTTAGATGAAGAATACCTTCCTTGTGACGATGAACATATTTCTGACAGTGAGGCTAGTAGTATTTCATCAAAACATGATAGTCAAACCGTGGATGACAAAAATGTTCTACATAGTAAGAAGGCGAATAGAACAGGTAAGATCTGTAAGATTGAAACAGTTTCAATTATAAAATGCCATATTTTTAACAGACGCCGCAGCATTAGTAGAAACGGATGAATTGGACAACAACAACAGTAGTGTGCTTAAGAAATTAGTGAGACAAACAATTATTAATAATAAATTAATAAAAAAACAAAATGCTATGTTGAAAGAGCTGATCAGCAAGCTCAATGTTGCGGGTCTGAATAATATGGATCCTGATGAGGAAGTATTGTCGCAGCAGTTTAAGAATACCTTTCCTATAAAAGAAGACGAGAATCTTGATAGTACAAATCAAATTTTAAGTGAGGAAGAAAAATTTTACAAGTACGCGGTAAGTTGTAAAAAACAAAAAATTTCATCAGTTGAAAACGTTTAACTTTTTTTCAGTTAAAAATGGTATCTCTAGAAGGTGGCCATAGCGTTAGCGAATGTGTAAGAAAAGTCATGACAGTTGTTATTGATGATAACCTGGCGAATAGCTACAGTTTTAAGGGACATAAAGCTAAAAAGAATTTCAGCAAGTACAAACATCTGGTATCATTAATCATAGGTGCGATATATTGTGAACCTGTTATTTAAATGTTTATTAATATTATCTAATTATTTTTAGATAGCGTAAGAAGTCATGTTCCCACAGCAACAACAAAAGAGATGCAGGATCAAATAGCGATTTGGCTGACCCAATCGAGGAGACGGATGGAAGCAGCAGTCCAGGACTAGTACCAAATACAAATACTACATATTTACCAAGGAATGTCTATTAATTTCTATATACGCATTATTGTTTGATAACTTACGAAAAAATTAGTAAGTGCCTTATTTTATTTGATATATTTAGCAAATAATTTGTTTTTATTTTTATATATTGGCATTAATAACTTACTAAAGAATTACTAATGGCCAATTGCACCGACCATTTTAAGGAAGCCTTAACGATAAGTATTCCTTAAAATGGTCGGTGCAATCGGCCATAAAGGGCCTTATTTTATTTTATATATTTGACAAGGAATTTGTTTTTATTTTTATATAAAGGCATAATTACCATACTAAAGAATTAGTAAGTGGCTTATATTTTATTTTATATATTTACCAAAGAATTTGTTTTTATTTTTATATAGGCTTTAATATATAAAGTTTATTATGTAATATTTTTTATTTTTAGTTTTTTATTAAAAAGTTTTATACATAATTGTTTCGCAGTTTAACAGCCCCTGAACAACGGTGATACATACCTATATCCTATATCAGAAAATGCTGAGAATATTCACGGAGGAATTTCTCAGCATGTCCGTATATCCAAAATTTTATTAAACCAGGAAAATTCCCAGAATTATGTATGACAGCTCTATAACATTTTTTAAGGCAGAATCCAGGAATATGTTTTTTCTCATGCTAGGAATAAATAAAAAGCGGACATTTAGATATGTCAGGAATATTCCGAGGAATATTCTGGGACGCTTGGAATAATCATAGGAATATTCCTAGCATAATATTGGAACAGGACTGTGCGGTCTGGGAAATGATTGAGACATCGCTCGCAAAACCATTTTTTATGTCGATAGTTGCCAACTTGTTTACACAATAAACGACTTAAATTTTTTATACAAGCAAAATGAAATAATCTATTTTCTGGCTTAAAATATTCATCTTGATCAAGTTTCACATTATTACAAGGTAAAATGAGTAAATTAACTCTATAAAATTGTACCTTACTTAACATTAAAGATAAAATTTCAAGTTTTTTCACACAAAAAACATTGATGGCCAAATTGTTTAAAGCCTCAAATCTTGGAATATCTTTCAAGACTATGAAAAAAGAAATTCCTCCATAATTCAAAACATTTCTAAAGTCATCGTATGATGTCGTACTACTAATTTTTTTTTTGGTTTAGGACCAAGTATAGCACACACCACAGACCACAAAAATCAATAATCATCGTTATTTTTAATATTTATCACAGCCTTAGTTTTTTTAATGAAATCTGGAATACTTACAAAAGTAGAAATTCCCACACCAATCGGATTATAAGTGTTTATGTTAACTTTCAAAAATCAAATTTCACATAAAGCCCAACCACTATTCCTTTCTTGAAACTCCTCCATTTTAAATAAAATTTTATCACACACGTTCACATTGTACCAATCACTTAAAATGGTAGTATGTTCAATCACACAATTTTTTGTGCCAAAGTGCTTAGCAGATATTTCCAAAGTTTGAGGTTTTATAAATAGACCCGAAAAAACAACATTGACTTTCAATAATGAATTTTTAAGTTCTTTTTTAATTCTCAATGAAAAAATTCGAAATGCTAACCTTAAAAATTCTTTGGGGTCCTTTAATTTTAAATTGTTAATAACTCCAGTTTTTATTCTCCCATTGAAACAAGAATCTAAATCTAGCCAAATCAATTTTCGTTTAGAAAGCGACTTATTTGATTTTAAATTAAATTTGAATATTTGTAAAAAATGTTTTAAAGTGGTTAAATTTGTTTCTACGTATACACGTTTTATTTTTTATGACTTTTTTTTAAATAGAAATAGTTTTTTTAAGCGATTTTATAAGAAATTTATAATCTTCTTTCGTTTTAAGTAATCTACTCACTAGTTCAAACTTCTGCACAGCTTCAGAGGACAAACTGTCTAGTACTTGTTGGCTCGCCATTGTTCTTGTTGTTATTGTTGTAGTTTTCTTTGGTTACTGCTGCTGCTGCTGCTGATACTGGTACTTTGTGGACTGAATTAACAAGACCGTGGGCTTCTATTTAAATAAATGTCATATCAATAATTATCATACAAATACATATTTTTCTATGCTTACTCTGAACTTTATTACAAAATTTCTGGAAAGTTTTCGATAAATAAGTTACTTTGTAACACTGATTATCAATAATTATATTGGTAACGCCATATTTTCGCAGCTAAGGTAGAAGTTAAAAAACCATAAAACTCTCCAAATGTTGCTGCAACTTTCTCAACCCATTTTCTTTAATGAATTGTGTTAGTTGCAAAATTACAATTTGCTCTTGCAAGCTTTGAACTTTTGTAACAGGCCAAAATTGCACAAATAATTCTTACCTACTTTCAATTTTATATTCAAGATTTCCTTAAGTTGTTCAACATTTTCTCTCAATTTCAATTTCATCAATAATCTCAACGGTTGTGGATCCTGTAAATTTCCTAATATTCAATAGTCAAATTATATTTGCTGTAATGGTTTTTCCTCATTTTAATCCATGATTTAATCCAGTTTCAAAATCAAAACAAAGCAATGTTTTGATTCCGATTTTAAATTCGAACATCTGTTTTCATAAGAAAAATAATTAATTCATTTGTCAAAAATATTTCGTGGGTGGTGTTCCGAAATCATATTGACCCGTTTTCAAGTGGATGTACAGAACTACTCCGTTCGTATTAACTCTGTTCGGTTATCAAGCGCTATTGATCTCGGAGCAAATTCTAGCGAACCCCGGGTCGATCATTGGTTCGATGGTCTTTAAGATAATTTATGTATTATCCTTGCGTTCGGTTTTTTTGACTTTTGATTGTCAAAAATCTCTGTCAACCGGCAGTCGATTAGTAATGTTTTCAGTATCGTCGATTCTTCTTTGAGCCCTCTAATTTTGCAAACGGAACACTTACTCTATTTTGTATTCTTCAAGTTTTGATTGTTTTATGGGATGGGATTATTTGTTGTTAATATCATTATTCATCAGCCGTTGTTATTTTTCTCGGATTATATTGTTGTGTGCAATTTTTGGTAAGTGAGAATTCTAACGATTCATCTTTGACGTTTGTCGTTATTCTGCATCATCTCTGAATCTACCTTTAGGCTAGCTCCTTGATTGAATGTGCAGCACTTTTCCTTCCACGTTAACTGTTTTGAAGAAGCAAGTCCTTCAGAAGAATTAATTTTTTTTCTTCACCTTAAAAAGGTTTGGGCCTGATTTTCTTCTGAATTGAATTTATGGCACACTGAGTTATCTTGCGTTGTGTTTTACTTTCGTAAAGTGCCATAATTTTCGCCGATGTTATCGGTTTTAAAAAAAAAAAACAGTCATTTGTGGTAAGTTGCTTGCACGTTTTTTCCAATAGAAGTTTCTGACTTTTTCCATTCAATTATTAGTTGAAAGCTGCCCTAAGGAGTAGAGAATAATCTCACTCACTCCAGGATATTCAATCCAGACCTCGATCCAGATTTCCGGAGATTTTCGAGGCAAACGAGCCCTATTTGCATCAGGTAAAAAAAATATAACCGTATTAACAATTTTTGCAAACTCGAGACACATTTTTCTTAATCAATGTCAAAGCTTTATTATGATTCAATCTAATTTAATTAATTAATACCTTAATGTTCAATTTTTCTACTAAAATAATTTTCAAGAGCTATAGTCTTTTATCAAGTAAATTTGCTATTGGAAACTAATTGATTTACATTATAGTTTCATTTTTATTGATTCAATTTATTCATGAAGTGCTTCGCTATTGGTTCAATTACAAATACAGTGTGTATAACAGTTTTTCTCTTAGGGTTTTCTTTAGCGAGGGGTTGTACTTTACCATCAAGTTTACCCTCACGGTTATACCAATAGACGTTCAATTGTAACCGAAATTGAACTAAAAGGCTAACAGACACCAGCCTAAGTAATTGGACGGTTACTCGAGTCTTCAACCAAGTTAACCACAACCAGTAGCCAGGACTAATCTGGTTAATTGTAAGAACAAGCATCACCTGGAACATTTCGGTATCGTACTAGTTTTAGTTATCCTGATTATTATTGTTTATTTACATTCTGTCCCTATTTGTACACCACGGTGATCACCTCGGTATTTCAGGGAATAATTCATTGCTTGCCCCCAGTGTGGTGAATGAATTATTAAATAGGTAACTTAACTAGACGTAACCTGTTGAATTTATGTCAACCTACTGGTAGTTCTGGTTACATAAGTGTAAAATAACCGCACCAATTTATTATTCACTCATTTATTTTTTTTTTTTTTCTCTTCAATTTATATTAACAACTTTTCTATTTATACCTTTTTTTTTATTATTCATTTGGGTTATTGAGTTTCAATAACATATTTTTGCATTTAAATTTAACTGTTCAGGACTATAGTAATTCTTTCACCAGTATAGCATTTCTGTATTTGTTGGTTGACACTTCATGACAAGGTCATTTTATTAATTATTCATTTACTTGATTATTATTATTATTATTTTTTTTATGTCAATGCCCACATCGTTTCATTGTGGATTTGATAAATAAACAACTGTAGCACTTGATTTGAATTGACTTTTATTTGGTTTTATGCACACAGCCTGGTTATTGCTAATATTTTTCTTTTTTTTATAATTATTATTTGAATTGTAAGAACCTGAAGCCAGATACCATCCTGGAGAGTCCGACTCATCTGTTCAGAGTCGGTGGCGCCCAAAACTAAAACCCACCCCTACTCTCCGAATTATTTAGTTCTGAGCTAGGGCTTAATTTGCACGCACTTCGACCTTCAGTCTTACAATCTCAAGTTCTTCATTCATTTATTTTTATTTTTATTTTTTTTATTTTCATTATTTTTATTTTATTTTTTTTTATTTTTTTTTATTTTTGACTTTAATTTTTTTTAAATTTATTTTTTTTTTCTCTAAATTTTTTTTTATAAACTTTTCTAAATCAGCGAAAAAGCGTGGCACTTTAGTAATTTTAATGGTCCTTTTCCAATAC